TAACATCGATTGAGATAAAAAATAAAATGAAATATTAAAATCATGATTTATCTCGCTGCATTGCGCGAGTAGGCTTCTAGTATATATATATATATATATATATATATATATATATACTATGTTTGATCCCGTGTATTACACTGGGTAATTTGAAAAGATTAAATCATGTCATGAACTTATCTTACAGATATGAATGATTATCGAAAGTACGATGCTACTTCAAACTTGTAATATTGAAATAACTCTGAAGTATAACTCTGAACAATGACACTGAAAAATGACTATTTAGACTTGAATTTAGAAATGCAATTATATCAATAATTAGTTAAAATGAAGTTAACCCTAGAATAAAATTAAATATATTATTTTGAACAAATATAGATATATTTTTGGCAAAAAAAAAAAACTTTTATAGCTGTCATTTTAACCAACAAAACTCGTCTTACATAACTTCTTGACAACATCAACAAGTGATAGCTAAAAGCTGTCACGATAAGCTGAAAGCAGAAAGCTGCTGTAACACCCATATTTATACCATGTGAGATGTTACGTAATCTGAAACAGATTCTCCAAAAGCACTCCAAAAAAATAATGGTTAAATTAAAACTTTAGACCGTTTACAGCGGAAGACTTTAAAAGAATAAATATATATGACTTAATGTCAGCCCGTCCCATACCGGGTTGCTTTACAAATTTATATATCATAGACGATTGCGCCTAAATATTGAACTTAAATGGACTAGACAAGTCTCTATGTATGCCCTTCTTTTTCTTTGTCCAACCTGAAACCTTCTGTCCCTGAGATGCATACTATAGTCAGCTTATAAAGCTCAGTGAGTTCATGGTTTGCGTGAGTAAAAATCATTGCACTTCATACATTTCAACTTGTAAACTTTGTACCAAATAGTATGCATTTTCTGAAAAAACATGCAACACTGAAAGAAAAGAGATCTCATAACTTGTCTGTCGGGTATGGGTCATTTAGTCACAAACACGTCCTGGGTTGATATTTCAATCTTAATTGATCACCCACTTGTCCGGGTAGTGTTTTATACTGGTCGTGACTTACTGGTCAAATGTCCACCCTTGAATCATCAAACTTTAATATGGAATAGCATGCTAGAGTTATTTGAAAACTGATTAAACACATAGCATGCAACCATTCACAAAATAACATACATGTAAAATATATCATGTATGTAAACTGAAACATCATGCACATGCACCCATTGTCATATAAATCATATAATGCTTGAAAATAACTTTATACATAGATATGCATCCCATTGTAAGTCTCATGAAGACTCACYYGATTGCGYATAKATTGATTACCGATAGCTCTTGACCAACTGCCTACACATTTCATACCATAATATCTCATTAACGTCTTAATTTCTCAAAAAGTCAACAAAAGTCAACTATTGTCATTTTGACCCAACCTAAAGTCAAACTTCATATCTGAGCATCTTAAWATGCCCCAGACAACTCTATTTGATCCATCATTAAAATCCACATGGGTCAAACAYGTCAAAAGTCAACCCTTGGTCAATTCGGTCAACCCCGACTAACTTTAGTCAAACCCTATGACTAAAACTCGACAACGTCTTAAAACTTCAAAATAAACATTTTATGATCTTATAAATCAAACTCTCTAATTTAAAGCGTCTCTATAAATTTACAACTCGAGTAACACTTCGTATAGTCAATTATTTATTTTATAACCCCATAATATCATCTTTTATAAAATAAGTGTCTAGACGGTATATATATATATATATTGTCAGAATCAAATTGATCCTAATTATTCTAAAAAAGTTTTATTAAGCCATCGGGGTTAAGGATAGAACTTCTGAAGATGCCGCTTGTGCTAAAACGGCTAAGTCTGGAAGAAGACCAGAGCCTCTATGGACGACCAGAGCCTCTGGTTGTATTGACCAGAGCCTATGGACTCTTTAAGCCCTTTAGGACAGAGCCTCTCTGTTTGTATTGACCAGAGCCCCTCTGGTTGTATTGACCAGAGCCCCTCTGGTTGTAAACAACTTAGAAAATAATTCAACATCAAGGACCAGAGCCCCTCTGGTCTCTCTTCCAGARCTTCTGKTCTTCATGACCAGAGCCTCTGGTTGTACTAACCAGCACCTCTGACTCATATAATTTCTCAAAAATGGTCTTTAGATAAACATTCAACCAATAAGATAGTCTTTTTTCATAAAACGAGCAATTATAAAAAAGTTCATGTTCGACCAGAGCCTCTAGTTCTACTAACCAGAGCTTTTGGTTCCAAAGACATGACCAACCAAAGCCCCTCTGGTTCAACGTGAAAGTCAACCAGAGCTTCTCTGGTCTGTTTTTCATAAAAAGATTCTAAGTATAAAACTCCTTTTCTTAAAACTTCAAAAGCATGATTTTGACATATAAGCTCTTATCAAAAGATACAAAACCTTTAATCCAATTTAACATATATAGTAAAAACTTGCTCATCCTCCAAATCAAATACCAGAATCCTCTGGTCCAATACTGAGGACCAACCAGACTTGGAATATATTTCAAAATCTAAGATCATAGCCTCTTTGATTCCTCATGAAAACAATCATTCTGGTTCAAAACACTTTTAACCAATACCAATGGCCATAGGCCAAGTTTTCCCCTTCTCAAGGGAGAAACTGTCCTTTAGGACCAGAGCCCCTCTGGTTGTATTGACCAGAGCCCCTCTGGTTGTATTGACCAGAGCCCCTCTGGTTGTAAACCACTTAGAAAATAATTCAACATCAAGGACCAGAGCCCCTCTGGTCTCTCTTCCAGAGCTTCTGGTTTCACGACCAGAGCCTCTGGTTCCAAACCATACTTAGAACTCAAAATCGAACATTCAAAAACTAAAATATGAGATATAAGGCTACTAAGGTTTTATAGAGGACCTAAAAACGAAGTCATCCATATAAAGAACTCGAAGTTTGGTTGAGTAGATTACCTCCAATTGTCAATAAACAGAGCTTTTCGAACTCGAAATTCACCCTTCGATTTCTCCTTCGACTCTCAACAAAAGTTTGGTTTTCTTGAAGCAAGAATGGAGAGCAAAGTGTAGTCTATATGTATATTGAAATTTTTTTCGTAATAGTTGAATATTCAGACCAATAGGGAGCTTCAAATGAGAGGTCGTTTTCGTACTTCTGAATTTGCAGGTCTGATGCATATTTTTACAAAACAGATCCTTCTGAATTGCAGGTCTGATGCCTATTTACAAAACAAGTTCTTCTGAATTGCAGGTCTGATGCATATTTATAAAACAGGTCTTTCTGAATTGCAGGTCTTATGCATATTTAAAAAACAAATCCTTCTGAATTGGACATGCTTACATCTGACCCAACCCCTTAACTATCGCGAATTTACAACTTTCACCCATGTCTTGACCTTTTCTTTCACTTTTGATCCGATTTTTAAACTTATTTTAATTTATATTTTTATTTAACATATATATATATATATATATATAATAAAAATAATAATAAAGATAAATTATTTATTCCTCGAAATTTTTGGGTTTTACAGCTGCCACTTCAGTGATAGTTGAAAGCTGTCACGATAAGCTGAAAACACAAGTTGAAAGCTGTTAGCAATAAACTGTCAGATTAGCTGAAGGCTGTCAGCAATAACCTGTCAAATTAGTTGAAGGCTATCGGTGATAAGCTGTCAGCCATAATTAAGCTGGTAACTGCCTCTTCAATTATAGCTGAAAGCTGTCACGATAAGCTGAAAACACAAGCTGAAGGATGTCAGCAATAAGCTGTCAGATTAGCTGAAGACTGTCAATAATAAGTTGTCAGATTAGCTGAAGACTGTTAGTGATAAACTGTAAGCAATAGCTGAAGACTTTCAATGATAGTTTACCTTAAGATTATACTGCATGCTACTAACCCATTCTGCACAAAGATATAAATATGGAAATCTTTATCGATTTTGAAATTAAAACAAATCTGTTTGACTCTTGAAAGTAAAAAATAAGCAATAATTGTAGAACAGAGATGATAAAGAATGTAAAAACTGCATGCCTTAATGATCTAAAGAGCTAGAAAAGCAACCCATACGACTATTAGAGCCGTAAGCATCTTCCAGCATAAGTTGGACCGAAAAATTTGTTGCAAATTTCAATAGAAAAAAGATTTAGACGTAAAGAAAATGACTTAATTGAAAAGAAAAAACATCATAGTTATCAACTTTGTGAACTCGTCACACCCATTCATCTTGTGAATCAATGGATGACATTTATGGTGACAATTTTGTAATAACTAATAATATAATATGTTACCATCTAAGATGAACATACACGAACAATAGTATTATTGGAAAAAATTCATAAAGACGTGGATGTTTTGTAACTGCACATGTGTATGTTAATGTTTTGTAACTGCCCATATTTTGTAACTACCTGTGCGTATACGAACCCATTGTTATTAATAAAAAAAAACCTCTCTCATTATGAACATTAACATACACAAGAGCATCTCCCCCTCTATATGAACATGAGTTTACTTATGAACAATATGATTATGTTCAAATATTCCACGTGTGGTTAGATCATATATGTTATGTGCATTGCTAGGATATTCACATATGTTCACAAAAGTTCATTTGGTTGTTTCATCTTTTCATACGTTAACGGATAATGAACATTGTACACTTATAACAATATGTTCACTTATGGACTGAATAGTGAAATTCTGTCCAAGCATTAACATACTAGAATTGAATGGGAATAAGGAAGTTGAACATGTGAACTTGGTGTCTACACTTTCCTCCATATTATTGATATCACAACTATGAAATTATCATACGCTTCACAAAATTTTGAATGTGATTTCTTCATTCAGATTAATCATTTGATCAAGTAGAATTTTATTCAATGTTAAAACATTGTGTAATTTGATTCACAAAAATCAAGCAACAACTTAGTTGTAACAACTCATTAATTAATGGAAATGTAACTTACGTCCATTTACAGGTTACCCATTTGTCATCCATCTTATAATCATTACCTTAATGAAACTTACCACAAACAATAAATCATATTAATCCACAAGGTTAACACTAAAAATTGAGTTAACAAAAGAATCTTTGTGTGTGTGTATATATATATATATATAGAGAGAGAGAGAGAGAGAGAGAGAGAGAGAGAAGTTCAATTACAAAATCAATTTTCATTATAAGTGTGAGGACTGATCTCGGTCCTTCATTTTATTTGATTCAACAACTCATATTAAATATAATAATTAATTAAAATTATTAATTAAGGTGAATAGGGATAAAAAAACATTTACTTTCAATCTACGCCTTTTTTTTTGACTTTTTATTTTCTTTTTTAATTAGTATGTTTTTACTTTCTTAAAACTTTAAAATAAATTATCCTAAAAACTTTAATATTTTAATCAAACAAATTATATGAAAAAAACGAGGATTCATACTCTTTGATATGACATATATCCCGATAGTTTTTCCATTATAGTTTAACCATTTTTGACGTGAAATGATATATATATATATATATATATATATATGTGTGTGTGTGTGTGTGTGTTATATTCATAATAAATATTTATGTACGTTCAAAATGAGTACAACATCCCGACACCATACGTCTATAACTCAATATCACCTTCTTCAACACTTTCTTCAACATCATAAGGCACCACGTTTTTTCATAACCGTAACCCAACACCCATCGAGACTGACCGAGAACCCATCGAGACCGAGCGAGAACCTTTCAAAATCGATCGAGAATTGTCGAGAATCCATTCATTAACTTGATATGTATTTATATGTGTTAAATCATAACATACCACCTTCATTTTCCATTGAGAACCTATCAATCGATTTATTATTTGTTTGTGTGTAAAACTATAGACTCTCACTTTTATCTTTTATCGAGAATGATCGGGAACCATCGAGACCAATCAAGAACACATCAAGATCGATCGACAATCCATAGACCGATCAACACCAATCAAGACTAATGAAGAGCCCATCCATTGACTTGGTGTATGTTTGTTTGTGTAAAAACCATAACCTACCACTTTAACCTTTTATCGAGATGGATCGGGAAATCTATCGAGATGAATCGGAAACTCATCTAGATCAATCGAGAACCCAATAAATAAAAAGAAAGAAAAATTGAAGTACATAGAGTTAAAATTATAGTATATTCATGGTGAATAATATGTATATGCATGATGAATATTATTGTGAAAATTAATATTTATGATAAATATCATATTAATATAAATACTAGAGAGTTACAGTATACACATGATCATACATAAATGTTCATGATAAATGTTACAATAAAAACGAATATTCATGTTGAATGTCATACTGATGTATGAATGTTGAAAAGTTGTTATATACACACGAACATATATAAATATTTATGATGTATAATATGTATCATATTATGTATGAATACTAAAGAGTTATTATATACACGTTAACGTGTATATATATATATATATATATATATTCATAATGAATGTTATAAAGAAAATTTATATTAATGATAAATGAAGATTTATATTTATGATGAACGTCATATGTATGAATACTGAAGATTTGTTGAATACACGTGAAAATACATAACTATTCATGATGAATGTTATTTAAAGCTGTATATTCATGATAAATATCATACTAATGTATGAATATTAAAGAGTTGTTGTAAACATATAAACATGCATAAATATTTCACAATGACTATTGCACATATATATTATTTGTCGTAAAAACATAAAAAAAAATAAAAAAAAAAAAAAAAAAAAAAAAAAAAAAAAAAAAAAACTATATCAAGATAAGGGTAAATCAAAGTAAAGAATCAAATTAGAAAAGATACAGAATGCATGCCATGCCTTTATCTGAAAATAAATATCTGAATAAGTGCAACTTCAGCAGCAAGTTCTTCACCTTCATTATTATGGCTCTCACAATAGGTGACACTAGCTAATTAAATTAGCAATTAATTAATCGGTGTCGGACCAACTACTCTTATAATATATTGGAACAAATTACAAAGTGCAGCTATAACTAGCAATCTAGCATTTATGTATGTAACTGTCTGAATTTAAAAGATGATGATATGATATAACACACACATACACACGCACAACATATGTATATGTATATATTCATGTATGTATAATTAAGTATGAGCTAGCCGAAGGAAGAGCTTCTCCCTTGAGGAGACATATTGGAAGTACTGTTAGTAGTAGCAGTAGAGAGGGTGGCCCTCATGTTATCCATAGAACTATTGGATGACAATGGTGGTCTTCTTGGAGACGTTCTGTCCAATTTCTTCTGATGATCCACCGATCCTAAACCAAGATGATGATGATGATGATCAATATTGTGACTACTTGTTAAAGTTAATGGCTTTGTTTCATAAATATGGCTGGGAACAGTAGAATCAAGATCGCACCCATCTCCTCCTCCTTCAGAGCTGTTGCTAGATAGTACCCCAATATGATGATGCTCAGGTGGTCGATGATGATCATCTTGGAGGTGGAGTTCATCATCTGACCAGATTAAGGGGCTCTTTCGGCCCACGGCAGAACCTGTGCTATATTCAAAGTCATATGAATTAAGACTTATATTTGATCACATATATGCATGCATGCCAACTATATAAATAAATTGATCATTCTAATTAATGGTGCATGCTACATCATTAATGGCAAAAGAAGACGATGACAAGCACTTTTAATTCTTGACAAGTAAATCTGTAGACTTGTGATCTTGTGACCATAACCAATTATACATGTGGAACACTTTTGAGATTTTGAATTTTATCTTCACTTTTGACCATTTTCACAAACTTTAACAAATTAATGAACGTTTTTATCTTCATTTTTACATGCATTTAATCACTTTCATATGCATTAATTTGTTAAAGTTTAGATCATGATAATAAAAATAGGTAAATAAAGGTAGTTGAAAATAAATAAATGTGTATAAAGGCTTTTGTTCTTACGTTCTCATAGTAAACTTTTATTTGAAGAAAATATATTTTTGACTTTACATACGGGGGATTTGCTATTATTCATCAAGTGAATATCACAATTCGTTTTTTCCCCTCTTAGTAGGCTTAATTAGCATTGATCATCACAATGCATCCACTGCACAAATAAATAAGGTGTATATAATCATATTTTCTATAATTATATGAGAAATAAGTAGCATTAAATTGTGATCTAAATCAGTGACGAATAAGAGCACCACCTGCTGCTGTTACTGCTGGTGGTGATGGTGATGGCGAAGTGCCGTAAAGGTTAAGGTCTTGGAAGGATGGAAAGTTGAGAGACCCAAAGTCTTTGATAGCCGATGGCACATGATCACCTGGAAGAAGCATCATGCCCCCTCTATGGCCTGCTGCTGCTGCTGCTGCTTGTTCAAGATGACTCGTACTGCTAGTGCTTGCGCTGATATTCATATTCATATTCATACTGATGCCTGTAGCATTACCACCAACCACCTTATTGCCATTATTATAATCCGCAGCAGCCATGCTTTGGTCTCCAGCTAGGGTTTGACAAGCTTTCTCCAGTATCGTCTGCATGTATTTTCCTTGTGCCTCTATTCTTAACTGCAGATGTCGTTGTACCTGCAAACCGCATCACCGCCACCAAAAGTGAAAAAGAAAAAAGTTATCATAACCATTCTGTAGTGTTTCCTAGTGAATGCACACGATATATGTATGTGTGTATATCTATGCATGTAAATTTCAAGAAAGAAAAAGAAAAAAGAAGAAAGGCAAGGAGAACTTGTAAAGCAATATTAGTTAGTAGGTACCTCTAGTTGTTCATGAAGTCTTCTTTGTACCTCAATCTGCATCCTACTTGCACCAGTAATATCAACAGTAAGATTAATGATCATAAAATGTGTAATTGTGTACATATATACATGAAGACTGTGCTGCATCTGCATGTACCGAACTAGCTAAGTAATTGGTTTGTGCACAATGCCTAATATATGTGACAATAAGTTGTACATGATGAAAAAGTAACAAGAATACCCCGTGGTTACCCTTCAAATCAACAAGCATACGTCATTCTCTTACCCCAAATTACATTGAAGATAATCAAGAAAATTAGTAATACTAGTACTATATATATGTATGTGTGTGTGCATAGAGAAAAGTTGGAGAAATTATCATGAAACTTAATGGACGAGATTTTGAATGCGAATACTTACTCATTCATACTTCTGCCCATCATTCCAGAAGAGGATGCACTACTGCTTCTTTGAAGTTCTAATGCCGAAGCTGCCGTGCATATCATTAATACAATTAGAACGTGTACATATACCTGTCATTAATTCATTTTAACAATGATATGGATTATGACACACAAACATGCATTTATATAACTCACCTCTTTCGCTGTCTTTTATGGAATGATCATTAAATTCCTTGTGAGGTTGCTTTCCTAGCCTGAATTTCTATTTCACAACCCCAATTGAAGTCAAGAAAAAGAGAGTGGGAACCGGTTAATCATCCATGTATATACATATATATATGATATATGGAGCCTGTGTAAAATATATTGTTCCCTTCCAATCGAGAAAAGTAAAAGGAAGAGAAGATGAAAATTAATGCACGAATTAACTTGAGATACCTGAAGATGGCTCTTAAGGTGGTAAAGCGTAAGACCCTTTACACCCATGACTCTCATGATCGTCTTTGGTGTTGCCTCTACAAAATTTACAGATAGAGATACATATGCAACCAATCAATCAAGAATCGATCATCCATACTAGATCGTTTTTAGTAATTAGCTAGACGATACACACATACATATATATTATACACACACATATATATATATATATATATATATGTAGTAGATGAAGCAAGTATAATTCAGGATGCATGATTTGAAAGTAAAGAGAAGCTGGTAGTACTGTCAGGTCCTCCAAGCTGAGCGACAGCATCAACAAAGCGCTCATGAAGCTCCACTGTCCACCTGAGCCGTGGTTTGGGGTCTGTGGTAAGCACAAGGCCTGAGTCCCCTTGTATGGTACCAGCACCAGGGCTACTATGGTTATTACCACCAACCCCACACATGTTGGGCCTTTCATGATGATGGTGATGATTATGATGAAGTGAATTCATAGCAGTCGTGGAAGCGGCAGCTGCTTTCTTTGAATGGAACATTCTTTCTTTCTTAATCTCTGTGTGTGTGTGTACCTCTGTAAGAGAGATTCAGGAAGAACAAATGCGATATGCAAATAGGGGAAGAAGAATAGGGTTCGTCTTTTAAAGATGGGAAACCCTTTTTTGCAGATTGTATAATTATTAGCCTCAAGAAGAAGCTAACTTGGTTAGCTATATAACTTTAACTAATTACAAACTCAATTGCTGTTACTGTTGCAAGCTCTTTAACCACATCCAAGAAAAGAGAGGGAAAAAAGGAATAAAGAATAAAAAGAGCGAATCTTTGTGTGTGTGTGTGTTCATATTTATTTCACCACCTAATTATTAATTAATATTAATATATGATATTTATATTTACATAGGATCCCAACTATACTACCTTTTTTATATTTATATTTATATTTATATTATATACATACATAGAATTGAAGTCTCATGTGTTTGATTAGTTACTTCAAAACCATTTTACTCGTAGAAAGATTAACTGATAATTAATAAGTAGAGGTTAAACTTACAAATATCGTTGAACGTTTTTTGAAATATATACAAAAGTAAAAGCACCAATATTTTTATCTATGATTTGCCAAATACTAAATTTGAATTTCAAAACTAAAAGCAAATTTGAATAAATATATATGTTTTAGGAGGTCAAGATATTGAATCTCGAGTCCTTGTTCTTTCTTGGTATACATATTCAGTCCTTGTAATCCTTATTATTAGTAATCTATAATGAATGAGTCTTAATTAGAGGTACTGTTTAGATGAATCAGATTATACAAAATTGTATATACCGGCCAAATTTATATTTCATTGATCTAATTCACTGCGTTATATCTATCATGTTTCTTTGAATAATATATATTAAGTGAAAATGTGCATCAATGTATATATATACTTGCATACATACTATATATATATATATATATATTCATGATATACATATCTTAATAGTGTACAGACTGATTTTTACAATTCTCGAATTTTTTTATGGTTCTCACGTGAACCTGAGCTTATACATACATACACACACACACATATATATATATATATATATATATATAATACAAGGCAGAGGGATATGCATTCGCTTTAAATATATATATATGAATAGTTCCAAGTTAAAAAATGGAGTGAAAAACATGATCATTTGTGATTTCTTCGCCTTTTGGATGGCTTAAGGTTTTTTAAACTGTTTTTGGGGTAGGGGTATATATAGTTTATGCTTATTCCTTTTTCTTTCAAGACGTGCCATAACATAAAATGTATGAATGATCCAAACGGTTATTTGATAATTGTTGAATGGTTTGGTGCAAAATGATTAAAAGACTCTCATGATTTAGTGCAAAATAAAATATAATTATTTGGTAATTATTTACAACAAAATTAGGAACACTGAATGATTAAGGCTCAAAATAAAAAATCATTTAGAGAGTTTTAGAACCATTAAGAGACAAACTTTTGTTTTGCCAAACAAGATTCACCTCTTAACGATTCAAGAGTTGCCTCTTAATAAAACTATTAAGAGGTAAACAAACAACCCCTAAATGTAACCAAATTAACAAGTACACATTACAAAAGGGAAATTGAAGGTTTTTACGATAGTCTTCTCATTGATAAACCATTATCCAAAATTAAGCAAACATTTAACATATAGATTCAAAATGGCAGGTGACTTTTTTTTCAAGCTTCTCTTTATATATATATATATATATATATATATATATATAATAGAGAGGAAGTTTCAAATAGAAGCCTCTAATAAATGAGATATTTATGAAATGATAAGAGTTTATTTATTATATATGATCTGAATTCATTCATTATTAATTATTACCGTTTTAGTTAAGAAAACAATCAAGACATTTATGAACCAAATACTTATTAGAGTAAATGAAGGATTGAATTTTATTACTTTGTGTGGGTAGATAAAAATTACATATACAATGGTTTAAATAAAATTTGAAATTGAAAACAACTAACAAGTTATTAACTGTGACTATATTTCAACGTCGTGTAGTAGCTAGTTCCTAGATCTTTTAAAGTACTGGTCGCAGATAATCTTTTATGCCCTCTTTTGGAAATGGTTCGCCATTGTCCACGATGAAGACTAACCATTTTTCTTGTAGGCTACATCGATCTTAATTGAATTAAAATATATGTATGTATATATGGACTGATTTATATATATATATATATATATATATATATATGCTGATGATCGAATTGTATAACTATATTGAATTTGGGAAATGAATAAATGTGCACCAATTCCAAGGTGATTCAACACAGTAAAGATGAAAAGTAGATAAGGATTGAAGAAGAAGAGAAGAAGAATTTGTAGATAGAAAATAGTGGAAACCAAGTTTGTTGTATATGGAAAAGAAAGTAGTAAAGAACAATATAGTATGGAAGTAAGTAACTTTAAGGATATGTGGCTCTGAACTTTGAGGACGAAGACATCATGAGAATGCATATTTAAAGTGATGGCAGGCAGGTGGTGAGGGGGACCTCTTTCTACTAAATAAAGCTTCCTTCAATTCAATTTTTATTTTATTTATTAATTTTTTTTTTGGAAGGGGAGAGGGGTGAAGAGATCGAGGGATTCTTCAGTTCCATTTCTTTCTTTCTTTCTCTCTTTCTTTCTTTCTCTCTTTCTATCTAATTCTGAGCTTTTGTAGAATACAAGATTGTCCAGATGCCATGCATGCATGCATGCATGTGCTATCCCATCCTTGATTTTAGTTACCAGTTTCAAATTAGACATACCCATTAATTTTGGAACTAATCGGTTTTGATTTTGTGAATATGTACATGTAATGCCGCATGGTCATCCAACTTTTTTTTTTTTTTTTTAATTTCCAAAGGAACTAAAACATGCTTGCATTAATATAATTAAAAGAAGAAGATAGATGGATGCAGGTGGAGCAACTGCAACTGCAACTGCTGTATATATATAGACACAGACACAGACACAGATACAGACACACACTGTGTAGTAGTAATTAACTAGTCCTGTATATATACTAATTTAGCTAATCAAGTAGTAAGTAAGTGTAATTAAGGTTAGAATATCTAAAGCATTTAAATTCTAAAAGAAGGATGGGATGGATGCCTCAACCCCGTTGGAATAAATGCTTTCTTCTTTCACAATCAAAAGAAGATTCTCATTCTTCTTCTCTTCTTCTTTTTCTTCTTATTAATTATCATCACTTTGTTTTATAATCTTTTTCTAGATCCAAATTAAACCTACGTATCCTATATATTTCCTATCAAAATTTAAATACCACCCAATTCATAAATCTAGCAGTACTGCATGCATGGAAAACCAGACATTAATTTCCAATCAAACAATCGTTGGCCACAACTAAACCCATAAGTTTCAAACACCATATATATATATATATATATATATATATATATATATATATAGAGGTTGGTTATTATACAACCCTTGACATTTGTGCAACCAATACA